GAAACAATAAATACTTCTATATTAATCAATATTTATCGAAAAATTATTTATTAATAATTATTTTATTAACAATTATTAATTTTTAACCGTAACAAACTATAACGAACACAACGCGTATATCACTGCGCGTGCTAACTTGCCAAGCCACTGCCGTGTCTTCTGATTCTAGTCTAGTACTTTCCAATCTAGTACTTTTCCGAGATTCCGTTTTCCGAAATCCGACTGTCATGGGACAGCACCCTTAAGGTAAACTTTCATGGGCTGCTCAAACTGGCTGTTTCAGCGACAAAAAAATCACGTGGTCAAAATTGACGAATATCAAATGTCCATTTTGATCGCGTGATCCTTTTTGTCGCTAAAATAGCCGGTTAGAGCAGCTCGTGAAAATTTACCTTTATACGTAAGAAACTATTCGCAGCTCTAAATTGCCCAACCCTGACCAACAGTATAGCATGGTATAGCAACAAAGCAGCAACATGCAGCAACATTGGGCGCCTTGCGTTGTCGGCAATACGACAGCATTGGCTGCGTTCAGCAGTTTTGCAACCGTTTTATGATTCTTCGCTCGGATTGGACTATTCCTTTAAAACTAAAAGTATAAACCAATCAGCGCGATGATTGTCTCAGCCATTATGTAATGTCGTACAATGGCTGCGTTCAGCAGACTCAACAGTTGAGTGAGCGCTCGCTACTATTGATGTATTCTTCTAGATCTAAAATCTGGTTAGACGATCTAAAAGAATAAACCAATAATAAGCGAGCGCTCACTCAACTGTTGAGTTTGCTGAACGCAGCCATTATTATAGCAACATGACGGCAATAGTACAAATTTTAATGATAAATTTTGAATTGCTGGCAAGTTGCTAGTAGTAACTCAAAGTTGTCATATGTGAATGCATAATAGTTGCCAACACAAATAAGAACTCAATTGTTGCAACACATACTTAGCAAGCAACATGCCAGCAACAAGATACAATGGCTGCGTTCAGCAGAGAAAGCAGCTTTGCAACTGTTGTAAAATTCTTAAATATGATTGGTTTATACATTTAGATTCAGTGAGGAACTAAGGGCAAGACCAATCATATTAAAGAATTTTACAACAGTTGCAAAGCTGCTGTCTCTGCTGAACGCAGCCATTGCTATCTGGGGTCTGGAGAGGTGTTTTCTTAGGGAGGAAAAGAAACAGGAAATTAAGTTAACACAAAATGATTAGATATCAATAATAATATTATGTAATTCTCTCGACTTTTTAAACAAGTTAATAAAATGTTTGATTAACGTGTATAGAGAATATTAATTTCAAAGTCAATTTGTACATAATACGCAATAACACAAGTTTACAACGTTTCAACACTGTTCATAATTCAAGGATTAAAATTTTTCTTTACATAAATGTTTAAACAATACCAAATATATATATAATTATTTGTATACATTAAATCAATATTATTTACAAATTATAGAATAATGTAAGTGGACGGTCCTAGATAACAAAAGACATTATGTTTTACATTATTATACAATGTCTTAAGTCTAATTAGCATTAGTTATTGGCTTAATTGATGGAACGGTACTGTTTGCAGAAGAAATGTAATTTATTATTTTCTCTTTTTTTGCTTTTTTTTAAAATCTATTAGCAGATGATGTAAGGACTTGTCTTAAAAAATATGTCCTTGTACGCTTGTTCGTCAGCCTAAAGTTAATCTACATATATAATATACATTCTTATTTTGCTTATTATTCTATTGTTTTAAGTACAATTTTATAATGTATGAGCCTATATGTATATATGTACATACATATATACATATATATAATTATGTATATGTATAATAAAACTATTCCTTCTTTGTAATATTGTCGAAAAAATTAATGTACATCTCCGCAATCAAATAATAAAGTAAAAACAAATAATGCAAGAAAATAATATGTGGAAATACAATTTTTCGCTTTTGTATGTACATTTATAAGCGCACTGATATATGCAGATGATATTTTGATTATAAATTATGAGATTATATGCAAATAATGTACATTTAAGTTTTTTTATAGAATACTATCTGTGTACAAAATCACCTTCTACATATATACATTCATTTTTTATTCATATTCTATCTTATCGTAAAAATTGTTATTTTTAAATATCGATCTTCAAACGAACTTATCATTGATCCAAATAACTTTTTTCACTAGATAAAAACTCCAAATTGTTTTTACTGAGAAAATATTTAATAGAGCATATAATTTATCTTTGATTTTATCTTATACATATTACAGATATTTATAATATAATTTATCTCAATAAAACTTTGGAAAAACTTAACGGTTGTTAAATAAAGTTACTCATATATCAATCGTCAGATTTTTGTACACAACACATAATACATAATGATAAATTACATTTGTTTCGTCAGTCCTTGCAGAAATATATCACAAACGTTTGTAAATTTTATATGCACTTAAACTTTTCCCCCGAAATAACATGATGAGACCAATCTTCGATCTCAAAGTATTATCTCCATGACTAATGGAACTTTTTCCGTTTTTTTTTCCGTTTTCGACAAGATTATTTCTGATTGCGTTTACAGAAAATTTAGATTATTATTTTACGAATAATTTTGTTAAATTGTTAGTGTAATTTACAAATTATACGTCCACGTTCCTTTTGCCGATTGAATATAACGAAGTGGTGTAACTGTATTCCTAACATCAGGACTTTTTGATCTTCTGACACAATCTTGGCTTAAAACTCTACATCCCTGATTCAAAATGACATTGTTATAACTACCACGAGGAATACTGTCACTGCTCGCTACGCGTCTTACATCATTACTTTTTCTCTCACGGTAATTTCTCGATGGCGAATTGTCCAATGCGGAATTTTGTATTTTAGACATGGATTGATTATTTCCGAGTAATCTTGGACTTGGATCAATCGATACTGTTTTCAGGCTGTGTGTTGAGCAAACTTTTTCGGCATATTCATTTCGTCGAATTTGACATTTATCATTATTTTCTTCAAGTAATTGATGATCAAGTAGATGGTGTTCGTCATCGTTGTAATTTCCATCTTTATCGGCATATTGGCTCAAAGTTATCGTGGAATCAAGTGAATCGGAGAATTCTGGGCTGGGAACAGAAGACATGCTGCCGATATGAGAGAAAGCGACCGTCCCCTGTGGATTTTGGGGACGGTGTCAGAAACATCATTCTTCTAGTTCATCCATTCGATTTCTAACAGCCATTTCTACCACTTCCAGACTTGGATAATCCAACTCTTTAACCAAGCATAATACAGCAGATAATATATTTGAATTCTAAAAGGAAAACATACATTATAGGAAATGCTTCAAATTTTATCACGTATACTTTAAAACAATGTCATAAACATACTCTTGTTACTGGGCGCCTGTGATAGTGAAATTGATTCCTGCATTTGTCTTTTTCAGAATGTCTTATCCAACCCGGTATTTGATTTGCGTCTTCCTGTAAATAATATTAAAACATATTAATTTGAAAATAAAAACTTTTTATATACAGCATTCTATTTTTATCTAACCTTATCATTATGATGAGCCACCACCATTCTTCTTGTTTGAGGTGTCGAAGGAGGTTGTGGCAAATCTTCATATTCCAATCTTGATCTTTCATCATAATTATAGTTATTTCTGTCATTACGTTTGTCATCTGCAAATTCATTGACAGCATATTGCGTACGTTGTGGTGTTGATGTATACATACGCTGAGATTCATTTCCGCTATATTCAGAATATGCTCGCCTTTCGTCGTAATCTCCATTATGTCGCTGTACTACTGGACGTTCATCGTAATCCTATAAAACATAGTTTTCTATAAAATAATTGCTAACAATGTACACTATGTAAATTATATTTAAAAGAAAATTGCTTTACATTTTAGTTGTAAAATTTCTATCTCATATTATTACAATAAAATATTAATGAATAAAAAACGAATATGTTCTATTTATCTTAAATATATATAATAAATATATGTATAGCATAATCAAATATTAGATTATTTAATATTTTAATTCAAATTTTGGTATATTTAAGAGATTTTGATGTTTGTCTCGTTTAATAGATTTATTTATATATTTCATCATAATTAAAAACAAATTATTATTCTATAACAAACTCTGTCTTGTGATTTTCAATCTATCGGTTATATCCCTTTCAAATATATATAATAAGTATAATCAGAAGAGATATATAAGTCTTATAGATTTTATTTAATAAATTAGTATTAAATCTTATTCATTTCTAATTTTATTTTGAGCAATATGAAAAAGTGTTAGAAAATATGTTAGATGTTAAAGCAATTAAGAAAAAAAAAGGAAAAATATATATCATTAAACATCTCCTAAGCTGAGTCATACAAAGTGACATGTAGCTAGCAAATATTTAAAATTCGAGCATTTGTCTAATAATGATTGCTAACAAACGTTAATATGATACTATTGCTGATGTATTATGAAATATATTTGTTTATATTATGGATAATGTAAATGACAAAAATTGCAAATATGCTTAAAAATGGGCTGTACTTAAATGTACCTTGGATTTTTCAAGAGTGTTAGTGGTTACAGTCTCACTGTTGCTTCGTGACTCTGCACACGAAGTGTCATCTTTGCTCTGATTCTTTGATTGTCCATTTTGTAGCTGTTAGTATAACCAAGCGACTTTAAGTTATAATTATGCTTACAATCTAATTCTTTTAATTTAACTGATTAATATGTTCAATAATAACATAAAAATAATGGATTAATCACATATTTTTACTCTAATATAAAAATATTGCATTTAAGATATAACATATTAAAATAACTGTTCAGCACAATTATAGTTTGTTATTAATAGTTATTTGCTTTCAGAAATAATTATTGAACAGTTTTACTCCTATTTTATGATATGCATGACTGACCTCATACGCATATTGATTATTTTGTGAGTAATGATGTGACGATGACGCATTATAATTTGCGTTTCTTCTATCAGGATCATATTCTTCATGCGTATGTTGCGTTTCATCAAAGCTTCTCTGAAAAACAATTTTACCGGTATACATATATATACATATATGTATATGTCTCTATTCTTTAATAATTGATCTTGTGAGTTACCAAATAATTTTAGTGATTGGTAAGAAAATCGATTAAAGAATACGTTAATTTGTTATTACCTGATCACTAGAAGAACTGTACCTCCTAGATCGTCCCAATTCGTTTTCTTCAATGTATTCAATTGTAATATCCTAATTTAGTTATAAATGTTATTTTTAGCATTTTAATGATTGTTAAAAACGCACTTAAAATACACGTAATTTTTTAAATTAATACATCTGCTATCAATATTTGTATATAAGTATATGAATTTTAGTAACAATTAAATGTGAAGCTATTAATCTTAATACATAAAGCATAAAGTATAAAAAATTACTATTGATTACTATTGATGAAATAATATGAATATTAATTGCATATAAGAAATATTTTAGTATTCCATCAATTTTTTGTTATTATGATTATATTATTTTTGTTATTTATGTTCTTTAAAATGTTTTTACCTCTGGGCTAACTACATCCGATTGTGGAGAAGCATCTATTTCAAGAGGATGTGTTAAAGGTCGACCTATTGTCATTGCAGTTTGCACTTCTTCGGGTGATACTACTTTATCATCTAATTTCTCAAGATTTGGCAAAGCTCGAAGTACAGACAATCGATATCTATTAAAATAGGATTATAATGATGCATCATAAAGTTCCTATAGTTTCTAATTTTAAAAATATTCGTTATTAAATATTTACCCTTCTCTTTCTGCACATGGATTTTCACCAAGCCACAAATTTCGTAAATTAGGTAATCCTTGAAGATAGCAAATTTCATTTAAATCTTTGATATTATTTCGTCTTATAAATAAATCTTGAAGTTTGTGGCAGTATTGAAAATCAGCAAGTGTATTAATGTTATTTATGCTAAAAATAAATATAAATATAATAATTATTTTTTTATTTCAGATAGATAAAGAAAGTGAAGAAAATTTATTCTTTAAATTAAACAGTTTCGAATTAATATGTTCTATTTTAAACAACAAAAAAATAAAATTATTAATATTTAATAGCAATTCGCATGTAATGTTTGTATAAAACAGTTTTTTTAATTCATTTTTATTTCATACGTATATACATAATATAAAATGAATTAATATGAATTATATATATAAATCAAATTTGATTGATATAAAAGAAATCTACGTTATAGTATTTATTTTTATTTTTGTTAATATTATATAAGAAAAAATTGTTAATAATTTTTAGTAATTTTAAAATAAAAATTACATGCTTTATTATAATTATAATCGTTTATTATAATTGTTCCAAACAGCAAATGTATAAGTAAAACAGACTTTTTATAAAATCAATTAAAAAATTGTAACACTACGATTACTGAAATAGAAAGTTGCACAGAAACACACATATATTTCTTTTCACACATATTTAACCTATATTTTTTTAAGTTATTCTCTATATAAAAGGAAGAAAATTGTACACATTTTTATCTCTTCCTTATTTCACAAAAGAGCTCAAATATCTCTTTATATTATAAGTTGTAGTTAATATATCAAAAAATAAAAAATAAAGGAACTTTAATCTTTTTTTGAAATAAACTTCAGATACTCCAGATATTGATCTTCATATTTGCTCATTTTTCAATATTTATCTTATACGAATCACAATGAATTCAAAGCATGTGTGGGCAGAACAACTTCTGAAGTTGTGGGTTGTGACCATGAGTTTAACATAATCATATCCAAAGTAGGAATACATTGCAGCCTCTATGTTTTCGTAAGATGAAAAATATCTTAGATCATGATCATCAATAGAATGAGTTTACGTTTCTGCGTAATAAAATATTTATTACTATGCATTTTAATTCATTTTAACACATGATGATTTTTCGGTTGTTTACCACACACGATGGGTCGTTTCAGATTTTCATTACTTTTTTACTAATATATATAAATTGTTAAATGATATAATTTGTTAAATGATTCTTACATATATATTTTAACGTCTTTAGAAAGTTTTGGAAGGTTGCGTATTTAAAAAAAGAAAAGAATAGAGATCATTAATTAATCATGTGCTCCTATAGTATTTCAAAGAAAAGAAATGTGTAGAATATAAATGACTCAATCATGTATGTTAAAGGATAATAATCTGCTTTATACAGCGTCATTCTAAATTGCAAACTATTATTAACTATTATTATGAATGGAATATAGATTATAATATTTTTCTTATTTTAATAATTATTTAATTATTTTATCAAATCTCAACTTACCTTAATGATAATACTTCCACGTTCTTCATTTTTCTTAAGATACTGACATCTGTTAATTCTGTTCCCCTATGTAAAAAATATGTTGATTTAATTCAATATAAAGAGACAAATATTGTTATAATTTATTCTCTCTTTTTACAGTAATTCCAAAATAGATGACCAAACTTTACAAAAGCATTTATAATTCAATGTTCATTTCCTAAATTATAAATGCTTTTTGTTGCAACAATGTTCATAAATTGAACCAAAGCAATAGTATAGAAACAAAATAAGATGTATATACATTAATTTTTTTATTAATATACAAGTCACATTTATTTAGTAAGTTAATTATTTAAAGCCTCACAATATTTTACTGGCACGTTTTGTTTATAAAAATATTCCTAAAGTATTTATAAAAACATTCTTAAAATTTAGCTACCTATGTACCGTCATATTATTCTGTATGTATGATTTGAATATAAACAAGATTGTACTAGACAGTAGGTAGAATTCGTCAGGTATATTTCCACGTATTCTTTCACATGCCAGAGTCTCGCGAATAGCAGTTAGTTACGCTTGGGTGATCATAATTCTCTTTTTTCCCATGGTATTGTAGAAAAATTTGATAACCTTGTCGCACGGTTTTTGTTCACATGTGGCCAAATCAAAGCGTGTTTAATTGCTCCGAAACAATTGAGTCGCCGTAATTAATTCATCTGACGTATACAGTTATGCCGTTAAAAAAACTTGTCGTTGACATAAATACTCACCAGCAATTGAGTTTCTTTACAGCGGAAAAGTCAGACACTCGCGTGCGAGCCACGACCATCTCTTCGGTCAACTTCACCATTATGTCATTCGCGTCTGGACGTTATTATACAACAAAAAATTGATGTGCGGTCATCCGAGAAGAAATTCGATGCAATTAATTCACGAAATAGAAATCGTGTACGAGATCACGGTGAATTTTCCGAGCAATACGCACCCTAACCGATCGCCATGATGCCTTACTGTCGACTAGTCTGCCACTCAGCTGCTGCTAGTCGCGAAGTAGGCTGCAAATGCTTTCACTGATCGTTCACTTCTCACCGCACTCTAGTTCATGCGCACCTTAGCAGCTTATGAGTACGGTCGGTTGCGTTAAATGATGTCAGGCCCATTCGTACTTGCTGATCATATTTGTACATTTTTTTACGATATTTGCGTCTTTTCGTTAAATAAATTATCGATTAACTCAATTAATTCTTTAATCAATGTTTATGAATTATTAATTTAATTTAGACACGATTTAATATCAGATTTATATAAAATATATTGATTCCGCAGGAATCCATATAAAATAAGTATCAAATATTAAGATTTGATTGATAGTAGGAACGTGTTATATACGTATGTAGACTGAATGTGAGAAAAAGAATGTACATATATCTACATATAGTATATAAATTTTAATAAATATTTGTTTAATAGTACTAACGTAACTTAACATTTACTTATAGTAAATAAATACATATTTATTAAATTTAAAAAATGATAGTTAAATATTTGTTATCGTACCATAAATAAATAATATATTCATGTTTACTAAATATTCAGCTACTGTTCAAACAAATATTTATTAAAATTTAGTATTTTTTTTCTCGTCAATCGGTGTAGAGTTATTACCATGTCAGACGTATTTTTTTGAGATCGTAAAATTTCTGGAATATAATACTTTTTATTGATATAATTCTTATTAATATAATTTTATAAATATAAAATTTTCATTAAATACAAATTTTGTATTTATAAAATTATATTAACAAACATAAATAAAATAAGACTCCTCAATATTTAAAAAATGAAAGAACCAATGATATATGTAGAGAAGTATTTTATTATTATTTTCTTGGTAACCGACACAACAACTACTCTCAAGAAATAAGACGTAATTTATTTAACTAAGGGCCGGTTGTTCCACTTTTTGGTAAATTTTAAACTTATACACCTGTTGGGTGTATAAGTAGCAAGATTACCCAATCACATGCGCGGATTATCAGATTTACCTCACGGGTAAAATTTACCAAAAGGTGAAACACAATCGCGGCCCTAAGTTATTTATATTTCTTAATAATTTAACGAGAAATGTTTCAAATTATGAATATTGCTTATTAGTTTATTATATTTTTGCTACGTACATTGTGCTGCAGGATGTGAGTGTATAAGTCTGTTGCAATCTGTCTATCTCGTGGAGTTTTCTTATTTTATCTAACCATTTAACCACGATGGAATAAATAGGAATCTTTGCAGTGAGACAGATCGTTGGCACCGGGATTGTACGGCTTACATTAACATGAGAACGTAATAATTTATTTAATTCGTTGAGAATGATTTGAAGTAAGTCAAAACGCGTACGAAATTGAAGATATAATTACATTAATATATATTGAACCTTTATTATTATTATTATACTTGTCCACTAATTATATACCGCGTTGATTCCTACTTCTCTACATATATTGATTCTTTAATTTGAAAATTATATTTATAAGAATTATATCAATAAAAAAATTATGTTCTAGAAATTTTATTTTATTCATATAAATTATGTTATAGAAATTTCATTTTTTATTTATATCATAAATATTTATCATAATACCTATACATATATATAGTTTTAGATTTAACGCATAAAAAATTATACCTCTTTCTTCTGCCTCAGTCATCAGTTTTTTTTTTAAAGTGCACATACTCTTTATTTATAATTTAGATGTGGTAGGTAATAAGTAAGTATGTATCTCTCGATTATTATTTTTTTGCATCTCTCGTCTCTTAACGTAGATTTAAATGCGGCGCGCATAAGCAGTACAGTTTGTGACGTCTTCATCCGGCAGTGATGCCAATCCGAATGGAGGGGATGCGTACACAGGCAGAAGCCAAATGTGCGTGCTCCGACCTCCGACTGCTCCGAGATACATCTCGAGACCGGTCATGTTGGCAGACGTTTATTTCCGATTTCCTCGCGCCTTTTTATTGTCAAGAGTAAATCATCAGTGCACATAAGTATTATTGAGTATTATTGTTGAAATAATTGAATTGTATAACTCTCGTTATTTCGTAATGGACAGCAGCGGATTACCGATCTTGGAACAGCAAAGCGGCCGTGTCGAGCAAGAGCTGCAGTGCCAGTGTAAGCGGAAATAAGTTTAAATTTCGACACTACAGATACACGAAACTGATCCTTACTGACTCATTAACGACAATTTCAGACGAAAGCGAAGTGTCGTGGTATCTCGCTGTTCCTATCAAAACTATCAAAAGCTAGAATTGTCAGTACAAACATCGGGAGCGTCGATTACTCCACGTAAGCGTCATAACGTTTGTAGTAATCATATGTCATGGCGATTACGTCATTACGGAGCGGCGGTAAACATGTCGTCGGACAAGAGTCGTGATCGCGGCGATGCAAGTTGGTTGCGGTAAGTTTAGATTTTGACATTGTAGATATTCGAAAATGCTTACTGTGACTTATTCCAACACGATCCGCATATGTGCAGTCCGTAAACGATGTAATGTAAATTGTAGTAGTTTTAATTTGTCGCGATGGACGTGCAAAAATGATTCTTGTAGATTCATTTGAACATTTGAATGTGACGCACATGTGCGAGATAACTATTTTGCGCTGAATGTTTCACAAGTCCGATTGATGACCTTTGAACGGTCTCGCGTCTCTTTATCGTCGATGATCTATACAGACGAGAGTATAAAAATGGAGCGCTGAGAGAATTGTCGATACCCTGGTAGCAAGTTGACGTCAAAATGACGTCAAAATGACGTAGCTTGCTACCTGGGTAGCGTACAAAAATCTCGTCGATCGTGATAATGGATGTGTCGGTGTCGATATCGAACGAAAATCATAACCTTAGATGACGTAAAATAATTTCTCAGTAAGTTTAAATTTCGACACTGCAGAGATGGCGATAGATTAGAAACATGTCCTCAGATAGCACAAAGAGTTCAAAAAGAATTCAGTGATATGTTATCAATTCTGAATTCATTTTTAGATGTAAAAAGAATTCTTTTTCTGAAAAGAATTCTTGTTGTATCTAAAACTTTTTCAATCATTTTCGAATTTCGATTCATTTTGATGTCATTTTGACGTTATCGTGACTTGTTGTTCTGCTTCACTCTAAATTTCTTGCAGAGAAATCTCACTCCAAGAGAGTGAAAATGCAACCACCCTTGAAAAAAAGTGAAAATATTTCACTTTTTGAAAAAAAATTACGATCTTCACTCTTTTTAGAGTAAAATCTCATTTTAAAAAATGAGGTTTCACTCCTTTGAAGTAAAAATTCGCTTTAAAAAGAGTGAAAATTGTCACTTTTTTTTAAGAAGTGAAATATTTTCACTTTTTTTTAAGGGTGGTTGTATTTTCATTTTCTTGGAGTGAGATTTCACTGTAAGAAATTTAGAGTGTTGGAAATTCTTTTTGAATTCTTTTAAACTCTGTACTATCTGGGGACATGATATTTTTTTGCCGAAGGTATTATTTGATCGTAGTACCAATGGTAGATTGACAATTTGAAGCTTTTACGATATTAAATTGCGCCACTAATGGAAAATTCGTATTAATTGTAATATTTCGTTAAATATAATACATCGATATTAAACACAATAAGGAAAAAATGATTTTTATAATAGAAATAATTTAACATTAACATCGACAAGAAAAGGAATAATGATTACATTTGAAAATAATCGCTGTTGCAAAACATCACTGCTAATTATTATCGTATATTTCAATTAATGTATTAAATTTATTCATATAATCAATGTTAAAATTATACTGTTCAAATAAGAACTACAATCGCTTATAGTTTATACTTGACGAAACACTGATGATGGCGTTAATACAGCAAATGTGCGATAGTTCCGTCAAGTAAATTCCATGCAACAGTATCGTAGTAATATTAACAGAGCAGATTAATTATGTGGGAGTTAAAATATTGATAATTATTTACAAACATTACTTACATTCTTACGATTAAAAAATTGTAAAATTGCTATATTTAATATTGTGATCGTAATATCTACGAAATTATGTGATTTAATTGAAATATGTAGTATTTAAGTACACATAATTGATAGTATTTATACAATAATAATAATAGTTAGTATTTATGCACATATATGTATAGATAGTGAAAAAAATTTACTATATCTTAATAAATACTAAGAATATTCAAGCCTATAACGGTCGAAGCTAGATTTTTAATACTTAAATAATTTAATGTGAATTATATAGAGTTCCGGGACAGTGCCGGAACACCTAAATATCATTGAAAGTATAAGTATTACAGAAAAGTGTTTCAGACAAAAGTTGCAGGGTTCAAAAAGATCTATTTACTGATTACATCCGTTTGACCTTGGGTGACGTCGCCAAGGTCACACATCCATTTTTTTAAACGGAACACCTCATTTTTCATTGCATATTCTTATAGTACATCTCGGGAGCTTTCTAAAACACACACGCTATAATAAAATATTTTTTTATTAAATACTTTTCGAGTTATGAGGCTTATAGTATGTGCTAGCATTAGCATTACCCAAGGTGTCCGACCGACGGCTAAAATCTCTTGAATGTTGTTCAGGATCATTAGCTGGATAACATTTGTCAAGATCAATGTCATTGGAGATTGTTTCTCTTATTTTCACTTTTGCACTACAAATTTATTTCTACGTAAAAATGAAAATAAGAGATACAATCTCCAATAGTCTTGATTTTGACAAGTGTTATCCAGGTCGTGATTCTAAACAACATTCAAGAGATTTTAGCCGTCGGTCGGACACCTTGAGTAATGCTAATGCCGGCACATACTATGACTTTCAAGCCTCATAACTCAAAAAGTATTTAATGAAAAAATATTTTATTATAGTGTTTTGGAAAGCTCTCGAGATGTGCTATAAGAATATGTGATGAAAAATGGGGTGTTTCATTAAAAAAAATTGATGTGACCTTGACCTGATCTTGGCGACGCTACCCAAGGTTAAACGGATGTGATCAGTAAATAGATCTTTTTGAACCCTACAAT